AGAAAATAGGTAACATCCTAACATCTATAAATTGCTTGGCTTTGTTAAGTGTAGGCAAAGAATATAGATGTTTTGTCATTCAAAGAAAGACTTAATGCCAAAAATGTCACTTCAGTATCTTTCAGTTTTCATAGGCACTTTACCACCGTCTGGATCACTGAAAATTTCCACCCTAATTACTATCCTGCTTTTAGATTTTATAGTACAGTCATTAATAGGGAAGCATTTTCAAAAGAATTCAAATTCAAAATGATTTTTTTGGCAGTTTCTATTTAAGAAACATATATATATTTAAACTTAAGATTTGCAAGCCTACACACATATATAYCCATAATACACAGACTACTGCATACAGAATAAGCAGACAATTAATAGCAGCAGCAAACAAAGTTCCCAAATGCTTCCTTTTCTAAGACCGTCCTTACTTACTTGGTTGTAATATACCAAAACTTTAACTACATAGAAGATGCAAAAATACTTCCCTATATTCATCATTTACTTTTTTAATTCACTACAAAGGGCTTTACAGTAAGACCTAGAAAAAAATACGTTTTCTCATGCAAAAAAAAAATCTTGCCTTGAGGAAGGAAGCTGTTCATTCCCATGCGGAGAAGTCATGTGCAGTGCTAATACTGAGGGAACTATTGAGTGAGAGGGTAAAGAAATGAGGAAGAGGAAATGGGAAGGAAAGAAAGGTCGTGTGGCCAAAATGTAGCTGTCTAGTGCTACCTGAAATGGTGTACACCCGTGCAAGACCAGCAGATGTAACACAGGAGCTCTCTGCAGCAGCAGCTGGAGGCCAAGCGGTTGGCCTAGCTGACACATCTTGAAGTGCACGAGACGCTGGTGTGCATGCACCTGAATCCAGCCTTAGGAGCTTACATGTAGGAATCTGGAGTTGCAGTGAGTATCAAAGATGACCCCAATTATAGTCAATAGAAACCTAGTAAAGAAGTCAAGCTGGGATTCACTTGCCTTAAACAAAGACATCTGGTATCATTTTGGGCACTGTGGAATATCCTCATCTGGCCTCCAGCTGCTCTTCCAGAAGGGAGCAGGTCCCCTCTGGACTTCACTGTAAAAGCTRTGCTGTGCCTGCCAGTCTCATGCAGATGTCTGAGATACCTAGAGCATCTCACAAGGCAGTAAGTATGTACATATAGACAACTGAGTTCAGCCCTCAGTGGAACCTGGAGTGCTCCTGAACTTGTTTTACAGTAGACATCTGCTGTTTCAGTTAAAGAGTTTTCTAAGCATTGTTAGATTTATTCAGTATATCTTCCATGTTTGTGATGGAATTTAGAAACCTAGTACATGTAAACATCTGAATTTAGATGTTTTTATCTTGAATTGAACTCCCATCCTGAGACTAAGAGCAACTGCTGGGTTCAGAGAAAGTTAAAGACTAGAAATAGAGGAATTAGACTGACCAAAAAAAGCAGGCTTACTGGAGGGAAAATTAAAAAAGTATGGAAATGAGACTCAGAGTGAGTTAGAGAGACCAGAAGACTAAAATTTGGACTTTCATGACAAGAATTTGGGGCTGGAATAAGAATCTGAAGTTGTGAAAATTGGAATTGGCCACATAAGGAGAACAGAACTCTGAGAATGAATGAGTCAAAGAGGGATAGAGCAATCCTGAGTCTAGAAAGATTGGATGGAACAAAACAGAAGTCATACTTGGAAAGGCTAGACTAAAGACTGGAAAACATAGCCTGTAGTTGGTAAATATACTGCCTTTTTCCTCTTGGAATAGGACATAAGTTTCCAAAATCCYACGAGTCCTTTGTTCTCAGCAGATGTCTTTGACTATGTTTACATTAAAAACAGAAGCAACACAATAGAAAAAAATTTGTAGAGCAGAATAGTAGTTTTGAAGACCTGTTGAAGGCATTTCAGTGGATTATTACTTCAGCTTAGGATTTTCTGGTCCTGTACACATGGGATACTTGGGGAGATCTTCTCACTTTGTTTCAGCAGATGGAGTTCAATTCATGCATTCCCAAGACTACACTAAAATATGAACCAAGTGTGGTACCTATTTCTTCAAGGTACAGAGACCTAAAGCAACAGACCTAGAAGTGCTAATACTGCTGACAGCACATTTAGAATCCACATGTAAAATATCTGTTCTTCAGTTTAACTATTTGGATTCCAGGAGATTTATACAAGACTCTACCAAAATAATTTATGTTGCATTACCAAGCATTTCAGTTAGGGTGTGCCAACCTTAATTTAGCCTCATTATGTGCATGCATTAAGACATGGTCTTTCTTTAAACAGTGATTTTCCTTTTTTCCACAAAATGCCTGTCATTAACCAAAAGAGTTGTGTAACGAGGAGAAAGCAGTCTGCAGAACTCCCAACTCATTTGTAGCAAAAACTGTAAAAAGTGTAGTGAAGAAAACAAGAGATGGTATGAAAAGAATAGGTAGCTTCATAGTTCGAGCACTTGAATCTTCCAAGAATGGACTATCAATTAGGTCATTTATATTTTTAAAGATAATCACAATTTGTAGGTTCTCACATTTCTGAGTGCCTGTTTTGAGACCTTGAAATCTCTTACAGACAAATTTGTTATTGTTCTTGTTGGTTTTTCTTTWTAGCACCTACAAATGAAGTTTTAGGGTGTTATCCTTTGAACATAGTGAGTGTTACATAATCCTATGAATTGCTCTGCACTAAGGAAAATAATTCTTATATGCTTCAGACTACACCTTCAATTTCATATATGTAGCTTGGCATCAATCTCACTGCTTTCCACCTGCAGAGTAGGGATAAAAATGGTTCACWAAGGTGTTGCAAAAATAAATATAAGCATCTAAATACCATAGTGGTGCATGCCAGAGGAATGCACATAAATTCTGTCTGTAAACTATGAAACATGTAGTAAATAAATCCTCAGACCACACACAGAATTTAAAAAGAAAATAAACATACCAAATAGCAGCTCATCAACTGAAAGTCATCCTTTCAGTAGATGTCAAGTATCGTTCAGATCATATAATGAAAGATTCAACCATTATGCAGATACACCAGAGGCAAGTTAAAAATGCACATAAGTTTTTTGTTTAGCTATTTCTAAATACATGAATTCTCAAGTTAACAGTTCTACCTGGAAAATAACCCATTCTGCATTTCATGCAAACCAAGCCAAGTATTTTATCCACCTTTTTAAATGTAAGTGATATTTCATCTTTTTCTAAATGATGATCAAAAGAGATTCTAGTAACTGACGCCAGTGATAAACATAATGCTGTTGAATGTTTGGCTTGCAAAAGACCTAAATTCATCTGGCTATTTTACATTGATCTTTTTGAACAGTTTTTGATAATGTGACATTCTGTGATTTATGTGTAGTCACAATCTAGGGCAAAATCAAAGAAAAATCTTTGATAAAGCAAACTAAATACCTTATTTCCAGCAATCAGTGATAACCAAACAGTTATTATGTTTCACATATGTTTGTGTCCAGCTGAGATGTCATAATTTACATACAGTCAATATTCAAATAATGTCAAAGATGTGGGTGTACTTCAGTAAGAGGAAAGCAAGTACAGCAGAAACTTGTAATATTTTGTGAAATGCAGTCTGAGCTCTTCGCCCACCTCTGCCCCAGTGGACAAGTCGTATGCATTTATTTATATTTCACATGTCTACAAAAATGAAAGGAATTGAAGACTTTTGTGGTGATAGGAGAGCTTCTTGTTAGTTTTGGTCAATTATGCACTGAAGTTCAGAAATTAAATATGAAAGAAATGACTGTAATAGAATTGGACCAAGCTGTATGTGTGTCATATGTTGAGCAATTCTGGTACTGACATTCAAACGTTTTAGTTAAAAAACTTCATCATTCATCTTGTTCCTGGATAGTTTTAAATCTGTATGTTTTAAATTTCTCCCAGACAACCATCCTACCTTGAATTACAGTATGAAAGCTGAAAAAAATTGCATGAAAGCTGAAAAATATACCCACAGCACACAAATTTGACATGAAAATGGGACAGAGTGATGATTCAAGAAAGAGATACTCGTTATCATTAACAGGGGGAAAAGTCATTTCATTGATTATGACATTAGTCTRGACCTTGGGACTTGTGTGTTGAAGCAGATCCTGGAGCACCTCCTTCATGTGAACAAGGCTGTTAGGACAAGGTATGAGAAAAGGACTGTGGTAGATTTTTAGTTACACATTACAACCAAGAAGAAATTTGCTCATTCATCTGTAGCAGGTTCTTACGCTCAACCTTTGTGCAGCAGAAACTTTGCAATGGTAAAATTGTCTGAGCAAACTTAGCATTGCTTTTGAGAGTGACTGTAACTGGCATCATTCTGGAGGGAAAAAAAATAAAGCAGAGTGATTCAACTGTAGTTTGCATCTGAGGTTAAGCTAATAGATGTTCTTCCACCTAAGGTGCCAATCAGGCGAGTATTTTCAGGTCACACCTAACATATGCCAATTAAACTGAGCTGTTTAGAAATGCAGAGAAAATCTTCTGCTTTCTTTTAGTTTGTATGCAGAAAAAAAAAAACGAGCAGCATAATAGTTACTCAGTTCAGCTAGAATATAGCTTCAAGTTAGGTGGTAATTTTGTTACTTGATTAAATAGTTAAAGAGCTAATATAGAAAACCATAGTAAGTGAGACACAACAGCCTTCCTGAGGAAGGGTGGACTCCATGGAGAACCAGGTGTTTTCTTCCATAATAAGACATTACTTAAGACAATTGAACTTTTCATCAGCCGATCTGTGTTTAGAAAGATAGGCCTTTATTGTGCTCCACTATTTTACAGCTGAGAACACTAAGTAATCAAGCATTTAATTAATTTTATCATAATTCCTGACTTGAGAACGACCCAGAACTACCAACTTATTCTTCCTTGTGGTATATGTTGGCTCGTGAAGCATCATTTCTCTCCAAAGAATTCAGTCTTGTTGGCATATTGGTTGCTTCATCGGTGGTCTTTCAAATTAACGATTTTATTTGCTTTGATTTCTAGCTGATTTTTTACTATGGCATTGGAGACAGCTGGTGTCCACAGCACTACTACGATGAGATCAAAATGGATTTTCCAGATGGGGACATTCGACTTTGTGAGAAAGGGCTCCGCCATGCCTTTGTGCTAGATGCCAGCAAGGAGATGGCTTCCATGATTGCAGACTGGCTGCAGGATGATTTGACCAAATTATAAACAGTGATTCAGTGATTAACTGAATGATGTAATTATTTTGTGAATGTGTAATTTTTTGTGAGAGAGTCTGTCCTACTTTTCTCTGTTGATTATAGATTGTGGCTTGTTTTCTACCAAGATGTTTTAGAGAAAGTTAAAGAGAGACTGGCTGGTCCAAAGTATAGTTTTATCAATTTAATGGTTATGTACCTGCATGCTGTGTCTTCAGGACTCTGCAGGACTTGGCAAAGTACGGAACTTGACAAAGACTTGGTAAAGTATGGAACATTTTCTTCTAGCACTCTAGACCACACTGATACTAGATTCACTGGCCACAGGTGCACCTGAGCTTAGTACCACATCACTTACATGCTGAAGGGATCATTTTGGTGCAGCCGAACTGGTCTGCCTTAGAGAGAAATATCAGGCTACTCCATCTGGTATGGTTAAAATCCCACTGTGGCAATGGTCTTTTGTGAAAGGCCTGACCTTCTCCTCCTGTCTCATATGTCCAGGTTGCCCTGTCACATGAGTAATGACAGCCAAAAGGCCAAGGCCCCAGGACAACTCTGGTGCTGTCAGCGACAGGTCAGATGGGTTTTGAAGGTCAGGTTGAGTTCAGGCTTTTTACAACAGAAATGTGAACATGAAGTATGCAGTTTCTCTAAGTCTCAAGAGTTCAGGGCACTGCCCGGACTCCACCATGTAGCAAGAACAGAGTAAGGCAAGTGTGGCTATTCACCTATTGAATGTGTTTGGAGCACATCTCTGGAACATGATCAAGTGTTTCATTTTCAGATTTATTGTGGAGAAGTTAAAGACCCCCGGTCAAAAGTGCCAATATTAAAAGGTTAAAAAATGATAGGAGAATCCATATTTAACTACCTATAAGTGCCCTAGCACTAAGCTCAGATTCTCTTAATGAAGCCCAGGGGAACACTGTTTGCTCAGCAGCTTTGAAAAACTAATCCAGTTTTGATACTTGCCTAAATTTCAGTTTCTTGTTGTAAGGACTGAAGTACAAACTTTTCTGCCAAGCCCCAAATTAGATAACTCTGTTATAAGAAAATGGCTATTACTTCTTCCATGGTTGCACCCATAAAATCGCATGAAATGGTAGTATTTAGAACCTTGCTGTTGCACATTGCTAACAAGTATGCTGCTTCTCACAGTTGTTCATCCCTCTCCGTTTTAGATAAAAAAGACAGCAGAAAGAAACATCCTACCACTTGTGATAACACAAGAACTTACAGCCTAAAGCTAGAAATGAATATAATGCAAGTAAGGGGAACAGAGCCAAGTGTAATCAGGAAAAGCTTTCTAGCCATGAACCTGTGAAACAGTCTCCCAGTGGAGACATTTATAAATAAACAAAACGCTACATAATATAATCAGGGGCATCTCTGTCCTAGCAAGCAGATTAATTTAGCTGATGCATTAGGCAGCTGACTTAAATAATTTAATAAGTTGAGGTACTACTGAGAATGATATTGGAGAAAGTTCTCTGTGAGGCAGAAAGACTCACAGAATAAGTAACCATTTCCTCACTTTTCTTATATGGTTATATAGCACTTTTCACTCCTCTCTAAATCCCCCTTTAATCATTCCTTGATATGTAGAGCAATTTGTAATAGAATTCAGTTTCTGGATATTTTTGGACAAGTTTGGAACCTGCAGGCAGCCAGTGCGTTTAAGTGACCTTTTTTGCACTGTAAACTAGTTTACATTTTGAGAGTAGCCAGTGAATTTTCAGATTATACTGCCATAGGAAAGGAAGAGATGATGATGCTTGAGACAGAAGTGTTGAGACCCCCAGAGCTGCAGCACAGGGAGGAAACAGATTTGTTCAAAGCAAAGGGATTGTGCCTGTGCAATTAACGGATTTTGTATTGGAGAAACATGGAAACTTACTTTATTTTCTGCGGGTCCACATTCAGCAGTGATCAGAACAACTGTAGCACTCACATTTGAAATCCACAGTTGTGTGTGTGTGTCTGGGTGTGTTCATACAGCCCACAGATGTTGATGTGCTGTTACGGTGTATGGTCTTCTATGGCAGATGCTAAATGCATCCATTGGCCTAGGTGCTCCCTGTGACTGAATAAGGGGTGCGCATATATATATGTATGTGTGTGTATGTGTATATATATATATGCACACACGTATGCATGTGTGTGTTTGTTGACAATGCATAAAAAACACATTTTAATTGGTTGTTGCGGTTTACACATTGATACAGTTGAATAAAACATTGGTTCTTTGAAGTTTGTGGAATCAGACAATTGAGCTGGAATCAGACTGTAGAAGTTCAGCTCTTCTTAGAGCAGATTTTCTGGCAACAGAAAATGTCTTGCATTAACCAAAGATGATGGGAAACTATAAAAGCTGGAAACTGAACTACTTATGGAAAAACAGTTGTTTACAGTGCAGTATTCGTATACTTTGTATAAGATATTAATTTAGCAATACTTGTACTTGACTTGTTTATTCCTTTTATACAAGTGTTAATTCATTATAATAAATCCTACTGACTGCATTAAGATTTAAACTGAGATTAGATCTGGTCATGCCTGACCAGATCTAATGCAGGATAATGCCTTACGATTTTCTTACGCAAATTTTCTCTAAAGTTATCAAAAACATAGCGATCCAATTGCTTCCGTCCTTCTAGAAGCTATTACGGTAAGGCTAAGATCTGAAAATTTGCTGCTCTACTCATTGTGAAAAAAAAAAGAAAAAAAAAGAAAAAAAAAAGTTTTCACAGCTATATTTCCTAAGAGAAGCAGATCTCACATGGCAAAAATCTAGCAGCTTTGAAGCCTGTAGTGTTAACCATGAACCAAGGCAAAGAGTGTCAAAGCGCTTATGGTCCAAACGTATCAACTTACCATAAAACACAGTGTAGTCTTGCTGCTTTAGAGCTCTTGGGAATCCTATTGCAGATGACTTGGTAGTATGCAGTAGCACCTGATCTCTGTCATTCACCTTTGTGCTTGATTCTCACCATGCAAGTAAGTATTCCTGCTAGCTTCAGTGAGACCTTGGCTCATGCTCAAGTGTTTTGCTAGATCAATACCTTTTATGAAAAAGTGCACAAATACAGTAACAAAAATAAAAGCATTTATTGTAAAAACGTAATTTGCTGCTTTATTTTGACAGCTTGTTTAGTCTGAATGCACCTTCTTTATTACTTGGTGTGTGCAAAATTTTCAAAACTGTCTCCTAAGACCCAAATTTCACGTATGTCTACTAAGTTTAGAGAAAGTCAGTGGGATATAGGCATCTGACCCACATAAGGATTTTCATCCAGAGCTGCTCCAAAATCAGTGTTTTCTCTTGCTCTCTCCAGCTAAGTGTTCCCTGGTTTGAATGAACTTTAGAGCGTGTGGATTAGTAAAGTTTGTCCTTACAAGAAGTTTGACAAATACTTGCCTCATGTTTATGGTGGAAAGTTTGAAGTTGGACTAAATGATTTCCTAAATCATAAGAGACAAATTACGTACATGAAACATAGCAGATAATCTCCTCTCTGCAGTTGAGGTCATTTACCTATTTATTTCGCAGAAAACCAGTTTATACACACATCCCTCCCCCTCCCTTCCTCTGGCCTAGTTAGTTGCCAACAAAGACTTTAAACAAGAGATGAAGTGTTATCATTAATATTAAAAAGTTGTTCCAAGCATTACTGGATTTGGATAAACGTGGTAGGCCCAAGAGAATGTTATGTTACTCTGTGTCACAGGTCACACTCAGACGCTCAACGACAGTAAGTTCCTGAGGCTCTTTGCTTGTAGGCAAACAAGCTCTTTTCTTTTGGCACACTTCCAAAAAAAAAAGAAGAATCCAGAGAGAATTTGTGAGTGACCAGGAACTATTAAAACAACATATATTTCTGGAACAGCTGATGGGGCTTTAGCAGAAGCGAGATGCAGCAGTAACAGCAGAGTGCAGCTGCCAGAAGTGATCGCTGCTCTCAGTAGCATCACGCAGGAGTTACGAAACAGGACAACACAGGCACTCCAATGGGGAAAGAGAGGAGAGACTTAATTCTCTAATTAAGAGACTGTTTTCAAAGGTTTAAAATGGTTGTAAATGGACTAGTTTTTCCCATTCCACATACTGCAGGAGTGTGCATGAAGAAATTAACTGTGTTGTGGATCTTTATCAACTGGTTTGCAGAAGCTAATACAACACAAGCTGTGGTTTAAAACATTTAACTTGCTCTTCAGCATTGTGTGTGCAAGTCAGGTACTTACAGATCTTTTGTCATGAATGCCCCTCATTTTCCCTGTCTATGAACATCTTGATCAAGCTCACTTTAAAGCCCCCCCAGCTCTAAACTACACTATGCTTCTTTTATTAAGAGAAGTCCTTGCATATGAAGACCAGATGGCTTTGAATGGGGAAACATGCTTTTGCAGTGCCAGGAGTCAACTACTGCTTCTCCTAGCAGGCACCCTTAAAATTTGTTAAGGATCCTGCTGTTCCAGGCTAACATGTAAGGAAAATGAATACCATTTACAAAACAAGCATGTTTTGAAGTGTTAACATACCTGCTGTCATCAGCCAAGGGGTCCTGAATGCCACCAGTGTTCCATTTAATGAAGAGCCTATGTTTGCACCACAAAGGATGAAAATTTTAAGCCTCCAGGGCAAAATGGACTGTATAACTCCAGCCAGAGCCCCAGAATAGTCTCAAGGAAGTCAACAGGGTTGCACACATGCTTGGAGGGACCCATCTGATGATTAAATGAGGATAGTATCAGTGGAATTTTGAAATGGCAGTCTCGTAGCTTTAGTCATAGCAAACTTTGCTCTTGAACAAAGAGCAAAATGTACAAAGTGAAATGTGGCCCTGCCCACAAAACAAGAGGGCTTTTTTTTTAATGCTCATATCCCTTCTGACTTGTACCAAAATAGGACAGTCCACTGTAGGAGGATTCCTGTGGAACTAGCACTTGRTGATGCTGAGAATAGAAGCTTTTGTAGTAAGGAAAACGAGCCCACATAATAGGCAGTTGCTGAAGGTGAGCTGGAATTGTACTTGGACACTACCACTGAGACTCACMGCAAATACTTGTCCCACTGATAGGCCCCAGGCATCTTATGAAATGCACTGCATTACATGCAGGTGCGTGATACATTATGCAAGGCACTTCAGCTAGTCTCTAGCAGACGATACAGACCCTCCTAAAGTTGTAGCATGCATTAAAATTAACTTCCCTGGACTTTGGATCAGGCCCAAAGACATAGACCTAGCTCTCCTAACTCACCTCCAATTAATAAAGTACTGCTTTTAAAATAAATGTCCTGTCTAATGTAACTTACATATCTGAACGTAGGGGTACCAGATTCTCCTCTTACATATCTCCCTCTGGACTTCCTGGCAGGATTAATTASTTAATGTTGTGAATCACCTGAGTAGTCTGAAGTGCTAAATTAGTACTACAGACTGAAAAAGAATCCCACCTCTAYTGGGAATCCCAAATGTCTTAGGAAGACCATTGCATCGGGTGCATTGCTCCTCTGTCACCAGTGAAAGAGACAGGTAGCCCAAGAGGCCAAGTCAGACACAAAKTGATTCAATTCAGCCATGTGAGTTCAACTTAAAAGTGGGATTTCCAAAATCCYACTTTTGGATGGGCACCGGATGCCCAGCACTAACTGCAGTCTGGTCCCTCTCATCCTTTCCTCYGCCCTTCTCCAACCAGTGACGGACACAGCAACGGCCCACCTGAAAAAACATCCCCAAGCAGCCTATGTTCAAGTCAAAACCACCAGGCAGACTGTGTATGATCGTAAGCCTGACTCCAGCAGGCAATATGCTTCAYGCCAGCTCTTGTATTTACCCATCAAAATTAATGTTTCTGTATTCTCTGCTTTATGGTTTCTGAGCCTCTAGGGCATCCTGTTCAAGTCAAGGGAGAGAATCTTGTTTAGCTGGATGGAGCTACAGAGCTAAAACACAAGGCAGGTGAGCTACTAACTACAGCACATTCAAAAACATGAAGAAAAGATATCATCCTTGTTGCTAATTCCATGGCAAATAGTTACTGTTCTGTAGTCTGTTTTTGTGGTAGGGAAAAAAAAAAAAGAAAAAGAAAAAAAAAAAGTTTGTCAAGGAAGCCTGTATAAAWTTTTTTTTTTTCATTTTTGCTTTTGACTTCCCAGGTAAATGTACATATGACTTATGAAAGATTTTTTTTTTTTTTTGATACACACACAAGTTTTCAAAAGAAACATCTTGTGGAGAGCTATTTATCAATAAAATATTTAATAAACTTATCTGTACAAAATATTAAAAAGGTTATTGAAGAGTATACAAGAATACTTATTTAACAAATATATACTGCTATATAATATATTCAAGAAAATATAGATTGCTGTTTACAGTTCATTTACAATCCAATATGTACACTCTATTTAAACTTTAGAATACATACAAACAATGCATTTACACCATCACTTACAGAGCTATCTTCTTTAGAGATATTTCACACACTCAGATCTGAAAAAGCTGAACAAATACATGGATAGTTAAAAGGCACACACACGGATACAAGTATTGCTTTAAAAATTTAACTACTAGAGATACGGTTATTGGAAACATGAGTTGCTTTGATATTTTCCTTTCTGATCAAAGAAAAGAACACATAAATAAAACCATGACTGACCAGCAGAGAGGCTCGTTTTGCCAAGGGTGCTCCAGAGAGCCTTGACTTGACTTCACAAAAAGAACAAGCAATGATAGGATGTGGAGCAAAGTAGCAAACCACTAAAGTGAACGGGACGGGTGCTGCTCCCAACTGCACTGAAAATGGGGAGCCCCAAGAATGGAGCCAGTGTCACCAGCAAAGAAAGCGGTCCAACTCTTGTAAGCTTTTCCAGCAAGTGGCCACCGTGCGACATTAGGCCAGTGACTGCAGGTGGACGAGGCTCGAGTTAATACCCTGAACCTCTTCAGAGCTGGTAGGAGATGGGTGTTCAAAGGCACTTGCACACTCATGGCCTGGAGGCTCACAGGACCACAAGTTGCTCAGCTCTTCAGAAACTCAGACCCTTGTTTTGAAGAGCTATTAGAAACCCCACAGACTGATCTACTCACAG